CCGGAGCCCAGCAGGTCGAAGCTGTGGTGGCCGGGAGCGGCCACTGCACTCCAATCTGGGCGACAGAGTGAGACTCCAACTCAAAAACAAAAAAAGAAAACGTACTTGTTTTATTTCAGGAAACAAAATCTGACTAATGCTTTTTGCTCTGTATAAATTAAGACAACATGTATTCTATGAAATAAGAGTTCAAAGAAGTAAGAATTATCTGAGAGAGAAAAGATTTGTGGGAAAATATTTATCTTTTTATTTATTATTTTTTTGAGTTGGAGTCTCAATCTGTCTCCCAGGTTGAAGTGCAGTGGCATACTTACAGCCACCACAGCCTCAACCTGCGGGACTGAGGCAGCCCTTCTGCCTCAGCCTTCCAAGTAGCTGGAACTACAGGCACATGCCACTACGCTCAGCTAATTTCTTTTTAAAACAATTTTATTTATTGTAGAGATGAGGTCTTGTCATGTTTCCCAGGCTTGTCTCGAACCCCTGAGCTCAGGCAGTTATCTTACTTCTGCCTCCCAAATTGCTGAGATTACAAGCATGAGCCACCATGCCCAGCTGTAAAATATTATTTAAAAATAAATGTTACATTATTAGTAGCAAGATGTGAATTTACAAGTGCTGAAAACAGAAATGGTGACCTGGAGGCAGGTTAAGCATATGGAATATAGCTGAAAATAAAGAGATAAAAATAACTGGTGCCAGGCGCCTGTAATCCTAGCACTTTGAGAAGCAGAGGCAAGAGGACTGCCTGAGTCCAGGGGTTCGAGACCAACCTGGGCAACTTGGTGAGACCTCATCTCTACAATAAATCAAAAAATTAGCTGGACATGATGGTACTTGGAAGGCTGAGGCGGAAAGATAGCCTGAGCCCAGTGGCTCAAGGTTGCAGTGGCCGTGAGCGTGCCACTGCACTCCAGCCTGGGCAACAGAGTGAGACTCTGACTCAAATAAATAAATAAATAAAATAATTGGCAAGAAGGTGACAGATGTGAGAAACAGACAATGGAGATCTAATGTGCCCCATAAAGTAGACTTCCTAAAGAAGACCAGAACAAATGAAGCAAAAACATTTAAAGAGAAAATAGAAAAAAACTTTACTCATATAAAGGAAAACTTGAAAAACTTGATACATAAAAGAGCTCAAGAGCTAACTGAGTTCCAGGAAAATTATGTAATCGATACTGAAACATATCCAAGTGAAGTAACTAAACCTCAGGAATAAAGAGTGAGTTCTGCATGCTCCTGCAGAAGGAAAAGGTCAACGACATGTAAAAGAAAAATTAGTTTGGCTTCAAATTTCTTCTCAGCTGCACCAGCTCCCATAGGTCAGTGGAGCAATGTCTACAAAAAGGCAAAAGAAGGAATGTGACTTAAGAATTGTTTATGCAGCTAGAGTGTTGTTCATATGTAAAGACAATGGAAAAATCCCCAAATCTCTAGAATCTTGACACAGGCAAAGCATCCCTCAGTAGTATATTATTAGCATCCCTCAGTAGTATATTATTAGCCTGAGCCCAGTGGGTCAAGGTTGCGGTGGCCAGGAGCATGCCACTGCACTCCAGTCTGGGCAGCAGAGTGAGACTCCAACTCAAAAAAAAAAAAAACAAAAAAAACTAAACTAAATCAATTTAAAATTAGAGACATCTATTTTTTTCTAGAGACATTTAAAATTAGAGACATCTATTTTTTTCTAGAGACAGGTCTCACTTTGTTGCTTAGGCTGTAATATAGTAGCATAATCATAGCTCACTGTAACCTTGAACTCCTGGTCTCAAGCGATTCTCCTATCTTAGCCTCTCAAGTAGCTGGGACTACAGGTGTGTGCCACCATGCCTGGCTAAAAAGAGATATAGCTAATGCAAAGCAGCTTAAGATTGAAGGTAAAACAGTGAGGAAAGGGAACAGATATTTGTACATCCATGTTGATAGCAGCATTGTTTACAGTAGCTAAAAGGTGAAACAACCCAAATGACCATTGACAGATGCATGGAGAAACAAAATATGGTAATATACATACAGCCTTAAAAATGAATGAAATTCGGATACATGTTACAACGGAGATGAACTTTGAAAAGTGAAAGAAATCAGACACAAAAGGTCAAATACTGCATGATTCCATTTATATGAAGAGGTACCTAGAACAGTCAAATTCACAGAGACAGAAAGTAGAATGGAGGTTACCAGGTGCTGGCTGGAAGGGAAAATGGAGAGTTATTATTTAATGAGCACAGAGTTTCCGTTTGGGATGATGAAAACATTGTGGAGATGAATAGTGGTGATGGTTGCATAACATTGTGAATGTACTTGATGCCACCGAATTGTATCCTCTTTTTTTTTGAGTTGGAGTCTCACTCTGTCACCCATGGCCACCCCAGCATCTACCTGGTGGGCTCAGGTGATCCTTCTACCTCAATATTCCAAGTAGCTGGAACTACAGGCATGCACCTCTATGCCTGGCTAATTTTTCTTGATTTATTCTAGAGACAAGGTCTCACCAAGTTGCCCAGGCTGATCTCAAAACCCTGGGCTCAGGCAGTCCTTTCGCCTCTGCCTCCCAAAGTGTTGGGATTACAGGCATGAGCCACCACACCTGGCAAATTAAACACTTAATAATGGTTAAAGTGGTAAGTATAATGTATATTTTACCACAATCAAAAAAGCACCTTAGAAGATATCAGAACAGGAAAAAAAGGTGAGCAAAGATGTATCAGGAAAATGCAAACAAACAGAAAGCAATAGTTGTGATAATAATATCAAAGTTGTATTCAAGGGAAAAAGCACTAAGTTTTAGGTTGATACATAAGTTCATAGTGTTTTTGGCATGGCAACATCGAGGTGTTGGGAATTTATCATTTGTCATGTGGAGTGACAATGTTGTGCTTATGAATATACCTTACATTTTGCAGATTTGAAGAAAGTGCTATTTGTTGGCTAAAGAAGATAGAGTGTCAAGTGGAAAAAAAGAAATACTTCTGACATATTCTTCTGTTTGAGGTTAATAGAGGAGTAAAGGCAGTGGAGGCAGCTTGAAATACTTGTGACATCTGGGGAGAATGCCTTGGGGAAAGCACAGCAAGAAAATGGTTTTGTCATTTCAAGGAGGGCCACTTTGAACAGAGTGATTCTCCTTGTTGAGGAAGACCGTCAGGCTTTGATAAAGATGTTTAAATACTTTAGTCCATGATGATCCAAATCAGTCAACCCGAGAATTGGGAAATGTGATGGACAGTGACCAGTCAACCATCATACAGCATTTGCATTCCATGGGCAGGCTAAAAACGCTATGAATTTATGCATCAACCCAATAGGACAGGTTGGCTTTAATGTCATTACAAATGCAACAGAATCACCTGTCTTGGAGTGTTAGGCTCTGATGGTTTCTTCTTTTTTTTTTGAGTGGGAGTCTCATTCTGCTGCCCAGGCTGGAGTGCAGTGGCATGCTCGTGGCCTTTGCAGCTTTGACCTGCTGGACTCAGGTGCTCCTTCTGCTCAGGATTCCAAGTAGCTGGAACTACAGAACGCACCACCATGCCTGGCTAATTTTTAATTTTTACTGTAAAGACGAGGTCTTGCCAAGTTGCCCAGCCTATTCTCAAACCCACGGGCTCAGGCAGTCCTTTCACCTCCGCCTTCCAGAGTGCTGGGATTATAGGTATGAGCCACTGTGCCCAGCTTATCATGGTTTATAAAGAATGTTTTCAAATTCAAAAAAGTGATAGTTCTGATGCCGTTGAAATTGTTTCAGGGTATAGAGAAAAGAGACAATTTCTCAACTCTTTATAAAGCCAGTATAACATCAGTAGCAAAACCTGACACGGCATATTAAAAAACTACAGACCAATGAATCCCTGTATCAGGTGAAATTAGATATGGCTTCCAATAACAGAATGCCTGAATAACAGTACCTTCAACATGTAGTTGAAAGTTGGTGTGGTAGTGCTGTGGTCATGAGGGAGCCAGGCCCCTTCTGTCTTTCTTGTCTGCCATCACTAGAGCTTAGCTTCCTTCTTCAAGCTTACCTCCTATTCACAAAATGGCTGCTGCAACTCCAGTCGTCCTGTCTGAACTCAGGGCAGCAGGAAGGAAGAAGGGACAAGAGTAAAAGACTGGGCCTGCCAGTCCTTTATACAAAGTTTTCTTGAAGCCCACTTTCACTTATATCTCATTGGCTACCCCCTGTCTTCAAGAGAGCTAGAAAATCTGAATTTATAGCTGAATGTATTGCCATACCCAACAATGGAGGTTTTGTTACTAAGAATGGAAAAATGGATAGTGGGCATACTACTTGCAGTCTGCTCTTTGATACTAAAATCATAAGTGAAGTATTAGTAAATAGAAACTAATTTTTGTTAAAAGAATAGCATACTGCTAGGTGTGGTGGCTCACGCTTGTAATCCCAGCACTTTGGGAGGTGGAGGTGAATGGATTGCCTGAGCCCATGGGTTCACAACCAGCCTGGGCAACATGGTAAGGCCTCATCTCTACAATAAATAAAAAAATTAGCCAGTATGGTGACACACACCTGTAGTTCCAGCTACTTGGAAGGCTGAGGTGGAAGGATTGCTTGAACCCAGCAGGTCGAGGCTGTGATGACTGTGGTCATGTGCCACAGCACTCCAGCCTGGGTGACAAAGTGAGACTCTGACTAAAAAAAACAAAAAACAACAAAAAAAGAATAGCGTACCACTGCTAACAGCATTATTCTAGGAATGTAAAAATAGCTTAATGTTTAGAAATTGGTAGATATGATTTTTTATATTAATTAGCCAAAGGGAGAAAAACATGATCATTTCAGTACATCAGAAGATCCAGCATTTGTTTCTCCAGAATCCCTTGGTAAAGTAGGAATAAGAGGATATTTAGGTGATAAAAATAAATATAGGCCAGGCTCAGTGGCTCAGCCTATAATCTCAGCACTTTGGAAGACAAAGGCGGGTGGATTGCCTGAGCCCACAGATTTGAGACCAGCCTGAGCAACATGGTGAGACCCTGTCTCTAAAATAAATAAAAAATTAGCTGAACATGGTAGGACGTGCTTGTAGTTCCAGCTACTTTGAAGGCTGAGGCAGAAGGATCGCCGGAGCCCAGCAGGTCGACACTGGTGTGGCCGTGAGCGTACCACTGCACTCCAGCCTGGGCGACAGAGTGAGACTCCAACTCAGATAAATAAACAAACAAATAAATATTGAAAAGAATAGTAGCTCTTTAAAACCAAAACAAAACTAATGACATTGCAACATAAAATAAGAGATGGTAGAAGATTAGTGAGACAAAGTATGTGAAAGTACTTTAGATGCTGTACCCATTTTTTTGAGTGTGGAGATGATAAAGTGCCAAAGAAGTCACCCACGGAGGAAGTTCTGTAGGAGTCCCAAGAGGGGAGGGAGCTCCACGGAGGTGAGATGATCCAAGGAGGTAAGATTTTTAGACTTATCTTGAAGGACAGGAGAAAATCTGCTACATAAAGAGGAAGGGTCAGCACCATGTTGAGAAGGGCAGAAATTCAAACCAGCTCGTGCGTTCCATTCATGGATTTCAAGTTTAGGTAGTACTCATTTAAAAGTGTACGTGGAGGGAACTAATGCAAACCCATCTTTCCCCCATCTTAAAGTCCAACCCAACAAGCATACCAGAGCTAGTTTCACTTTTTTTCTTCCCCCTGAGCAGGTAGTCTGTGTTCCCCAGTCCAACCAGTTCTTCAGTGCCTCTCGTGACAGGATGGTCATGATGTGGGACCTGCACGGTTCATCACATCCAAGGCAGCAATTGTGTGGCCATACTATGGTGGTCACTGGATTGGCTGTAAGTCCAGGTAAAACAAAACAGATCTCTTCCCAACACCTTTGTACTTTCCAGAAAGCTCTGTTCAAGCCCCAGCTCATGGGCGGTCTTCTCACCATTTTTTCCAAAGACTCAACACAGCTGTGCACTGGCTCTCGCGACAACACCCTGCTTCTGTGGGATGTGGGGACCGGACAATGTGTGGAGAAAGTGTCTGTCTCCAGGAATGTGGTATGAAATCAAACTCCGTACAGGACAGGGCAGCAGAAGGGAGCATGGGGTTGAGGGAAAGGGTCTGGGAGAGGGATCAGGAGCCCCACAAGCAGGCATTAGAACCTTGGGTCCTAACTTTCAGGGAGACCTTGACCTCTCAGAAAGTTAGGGTTATTGGATGAGATAATCTCTTGAGTCTTCTGCTCCAGGCAAGGATTCCATTTCTTTATACTGGAATTTAAAATGGTGTCTTCATTTATTCCTTCAAAAATATAGTTACTGCATTTCTTCTGTGAGGCAGATACTGTGCTAGGAACAGAATCAGTGACCAAGAACACAGTTCCTGTCTTCTAGGAGTTCACAGCGTATGTTTAGTGTGTGTTCTGTCTGTGTAACATCACGTGGAGAAATATGCATTACTTTTGCTTTATGTGCATAATTTGTTCTGCTTTTGAAGACCAATTGTTTTCTGGTAGCAGACTGGTATATAAACTGCACAGCCTTTGGTGTCAGTCATACCTGGATTCAAACCATTCATCTATCACTTATTAGCTGTATTACCCCAAGAAAGTTACCTAAGCTCTTAGAGTCTCAGTGTCTTCATTTATAAAATGGGGAGAATTACATCACCTGATAAGGTTCTTCAGAGGATAAATTGAGATAATATATGTGAAACACCTGCTGTTGTGCCTGACCCATGGTAGTTCCTTTAGTGATTGTCAAATTTCAGTCATAGTCTTCTTTTCTTTTCTTTTCTTTTCTTTTCTTTTCTTTTCTTTTCGAGTTGGAGTCTCACTCTGTCACCCAGACTGGAGTGCAGTAGCCGCTCCCAGCCACCGCAGCCTTGACCTGCTGGGCTCCGGCGATCCTTCCGCCTCAGCCTTTCAAGTAGCTGGAACTACAGGCGCGTGCTACCACGCCCGGCTAATTTTTTACTTATTGTAGAGATGAGGTCTTGCCAAGTTGCCCAGGCGGGTCTCGAACCCGTGGGCTCAGGCAATCCACTCACCTCAGCCTCCCAAAGTGTGGGATTACAGGCTGAGCCACTGAGCCCGGCTTTCTTTTCTAATTCTAAAGACAGCTGTCAATGGCAAGATGTGGTTGCCCCATGCCCTCTATGTGGAGGTTATTGGAAGAAAAACCTCTTATCTTGGGTTGTTTTGAAAACCATTTCCTGCCTGTCCAGTAGAGGGCTGTAGGGATAAAGAGAACTGCTCTTCCTGAACCCTACAAGGTGTTGGACTCCAGTTTCAGTGATCCCGCCTTAGAACAGGGGCTTGCCCTCCTAGGGGCCACCTGGCCAGCAGTTCTCTGCCACTTGACTGGGGTTTCAGGCACTGTAAGGGTGTCTGCATGCATTTTGGCACTCATAACTAGCCCAGCTGCTACCTCACTGCTGATAATATAAGAGATGCAGGTAGAACTTGACTGTTGGGTATCTGTAAAACATGAAATCCCTGTAAGTTAGAGTTACTAGTTCAGAATCCTTGAGAAGAGGTTCAGAGATGCTAGTTAGCACAGTTTATAAGAATTGCAGAAGAGGAAGGACATGGTATGGAGATGTTTTGAACAATTTGCTTTCTTCAGGTCACTCATTTATGCTGGGTCCCCAGAGAACCATATATACTACAGACCTCTGAAGATAAAACTATCAGGTGGGCTTATTGAGCAGCAGTGAAGATGTTTCTGGTGAGGTTTGTGGCTTCCATGTTTACATGACTCCATTCCCACTCTGCCTCTCCACATGCTGTGCTCTGCCCAGGGCCTTTGGCCCTCTACCCCTCACTGGTGCTGGGACCTCTCCTATCCACCCTATGAATCACCTTGGTAGAGACTGGATGCCAGGAGATCAGGCCAGGAAGAAGCCCCTGTTCTGGATAGCTTCAAAGCATCTGATTCAGCCAGCTCCTGCTGTATACACATGTTCACATTAACCCCAGTGTCAGTCACTTGCTTGTCCCACTCTGGTGGGCTGCCTGGCTCTACCTGCTACCTCTGTGTGGCCCCTGGTATCCTCAATCACCCAGCCCTCAGCTGAAGCCCTCCCTGGGGAAGCAGGGTCGGAATCAGCATCAGAGGAGTCAAAGTAAGTCAATAGTTCTTGGACCAGAAGGCATAGCTAGAAACTGCATCTCAGAAGAGATTCTACTTTGAAAATGGTAGGAAGGGAATGAAGAGGTGAAAATGAGATACGAAGCAAAACAAAATGCTCCCCAGTGGACCCCATGGACCCAAAATTAGCCATGGTCTGTAAATCTTTTGTATCTGATTCTGAATGATGACTGCTCTTCTGTATCATGATCAATATCTTTAAAAGTTTACATCACAGGCACAGAAATACTTTCTTGTCCATTGAAAGCAATGTCCCAAAGGACCAAATTAACAAATTAACTTAAGATGCAATTAAGATGATGGTCTAAATTTCTATGAACTGACCTCAGAATAGGAAGAACTCAGATGTCATTCAGTCTGGTTACTTCCAGCGACCTTTAGAATATCAGAAATTGCTCTGATTTATTTTGCTGTTTGTAGGTAAATTGTGACACTCCAATCTTACTTGTCTGAGAGGAAAAGAGCCAAGACTTTTATGGTAGTGGGATATTACAGGTGTATTTCAGACGCATTTACTACAAACTCATTTCCTGCTTTAATTTCTTTCAGATTATGGGACAGTCGCGGGCTGCAGATAGCTCATATGTTTCCCGCAAAGCAGCACATTCAGACCTACTGTGAAGTCAGTGTGGATGGACTTAGGTGTATCTCCTGCAGCAATGGCTTTGGAGGGGAAGGCTGTGAAGCCACGGTAGGCAATTGCATGGGGACCAGGTATCTGGTCACTGCTGAGCAAATCGGTTACTCATGCCTGTAGCTGGGCTACACAGACAGGCTCTGCTCATGGCTCAGGCCTGTTTGAAGTGCATACTGTGAGTGATTCATTGCATTTCAGATGCTTCTTTTAAGAAACATTTAATTGGCTGGGTGTGGTGGCTCATACCTGTAATCCTAGCACTTTGGGGGGGCGGAGGCTAGAGGATTGCCTGAGCCCAAGGGTTTGAGATCAGCCTGGGCAATTTGGCGAGACCTCGTCTCTACAATAGATAAAAAAATATCCAGACGTGGTGGAGCACACCTGTAATCCCAGCTACTTGGAAGGCTGAAGTAAAAGGATTGCCTGAGCTCAGCAGGTTGAGGCTGCGGTGACTGTGAGCATGCCACTGCACTCCAGCCTTGGTGACAGAGTGAGACTCTGACTCAAAAAAAAAAAAAAAGAAAAAAGAAAAAAGAGGAATGGGATGAAAGTCAAGATAAGGAGGAGCTAAACAGAACCAGCCTGCTTTTGTCCCTACTTCTAGCAGAACTTAGAAAGAGGAGGGACTATAAAGGAAGCTCAAGCTCTTTAGGAAATTGGGAGTTCCAGTGTTGGTCCAGGGCCCCCCAATTCCTTACCCATATACCTTCCTTGCTATTACTTTTAGGATAGATTGCCTAGGTTCCTCTGAAACACCTTCAATTCATCATTGTAGAATAGCAGCTAAAAGGGTTATCTAGTATCCAACTAGAACAATTAGAGCTTCCATTTTAGCTAACATATATTATGTGCTGGTCATTGGACTGAGCATGCGACAAGTGCTGTCTCATTTAATCCTTAAAAACAACCCCATGGGTTGGGTCCTATTATAATTCCTGTTTTACAGATGAGGAAATAGAGGCGTGGCAAGTTGAACTGTCTTGCCCAAGGTCACACTATAGTAAGTGGTAGATCGGGATGTTGCAGGCTTTGAATATAGCATCTCTTCTCCAAGCTAAGCATTTCCAGTTCCTACAATTATTCTCTGGATGAAATAGTGTCCAGTTACTTCATTTTTTGGCACGGGGGGGAGCTCACTTCAGTTTGTTCTCCTCTCTGAACATTATTCTCCAAGTGCCATCTAATCTGTATCAATAAGAGTAGGACTGGCAGCACTGACTGGCACTGCCTGGCTCTTCCTTGCTAGTCTTCGTGTATCTAGGCTCTTCGTCTGGGCATTAAATCAGAATGTCTGCAGTGATGTGTATGTAGGAGAAGGTACTTCTAACTTATACTTAGAAAGAAGTGTTGGAAGTCAGTTCAAGTCTAATGATTAAAAATCAGGCAGAATTCAGAAACTCAGGTTCTTATCTGTAACAGGACTCACAGATGCGAAGAGGCTGATAGAAGGCAGGCCCTTGAATTGCCATGAAGGCAAGCAACTCCATCCTGTCCCATCATGCTGTAGGACTGGGAACTTTTATTTCCCTAACCACAAAAAAGGCGCATCCTTAGCCAGGGTTGTTTGGAACATAGTCAATGGTGAAAATAATCACTGGACGGGTAGGTGGTTGGGTGTGGATGGGATGGATGAAGATATGGGGTGGTTATAGGAGTAGGTAAGTGGCAGGAAGAGGTGAATGGTGGGAGGGTGGGCAATGGCTATTGGTGGGTGAAGCTAGACAAATAGTATGTATGAGCTGGCTCATGCCTTTACTTTGCAGTTGTGGGACCTGAGACAGACACGAAGCAGAATATGTGAATATAAAGGGCATTTCCAGACTGTTGCATCCTGTGTCTTTCTACCGAGAGCACTGGCCTTGATGCCTGTAATTGCTACCTCATCACATGATTGCAAGGTGAAGATCTGGAACCAAGACACTGGAGGTAAGGAGCCTGCTGTTAGTGCCTCTCAAAAGATATATGTGGTCTTAAAGGATTCCTTAAAACTTTTCTTCCCATTGTTCAGCATTTACAAAACCACCCATATCCTGCCACTGTCCAGTCCCCTAGTGGTTAAGAGGTGACACCAAGGCCGGGCTCGGTGGCTCAGCCTATAGTCCCAGCGCTTTGGGAGACCGAGGTGAGTGGATTGCCTGAGCCCGTGGGTTCAAGACCTGCCTGGGCAACTTGGCGAGACTTCATCTCTACAATAAATCAAAAATCAGCCAGGTGTGGTAGCACGTGCCTGTAATTCCGGCTACTCGGAAGGCTGAGGCGGAAGGATCACCAGAGCCCAGCAGGTCGAGGCTGCTGTGGCTGGGAGCGGCCACTGCACTCCAGTCTAAGTGACAGAGTGAGACTCTAACTCAAAACAAAAACAAAAACAAACAAAAACGAACAAACAGACAAAAAAGAGGTGACACCAAGATGCCAAAATCTCTCTGTCCAACTTCTGGCCAAAAGCTATAACCATGTATCCCCTGCTACCATGTTGTACAGACTCATTCCTTAGAGCGCTAATGTATTTGGCTCTTACATTCTTTCTTCCTGAAGTTCCTCATCAGGTTTTAACTTGTGATGCTCAAAATATCTGGAAAAGGGGACAGGAATTGCCACTTTTGGATTCCTTTTTCAAGGACTAAAATGAAAGCCTTGGTGAGGGTAAGGGGCAGTAAAGATAGTTTCAGAAAGACTCTGCCCTGTTTTGAGTCTATAATGAAAGTTTAGGATCACAGTAAAGACACCACGTTTCTTTCTTTCTTTTTCTTTTTTTGAGTTGGGGTCTCACTCTGTTGCCCAGGCTGGAGTGCAGTGGCACACTCTTGATCACCCCAGTGTCGACCTGCTGGGTTCTGGAAATCCTTCTGCCCCATCCAAGTAGCCAGAACTATAGGCATACACTACCACGCCTGGCTAATTTTTGATTTATTGTAGAAATGAGGTCTTGCCAAATTGTCTGGGCTGGTCTCAAACCTGCGGGCTCAGGAAATCCACTCACCTTGGCCTTCCAAAATGCTGGGATTACAGGCTGAGCCACCGAGCCCGGCCAGGTCTCCAAGCTTCAGAGCACACAGGAATAAAGCTGTCTTAACCCACACATCTCCCCAGCAACCTTGAACTACTGGAGTCAACTCCTACTGGCCGATTGTTAAATATTCAGGAGTTTTTATTTTTTGAGTTGGAGTCTCACTCTGTCGCCCAGACTGGAGTGCAGTGGCCGCTCCTGGCCACCGCAGCCTTGACCTGCTGGGCTCCGGCGATCCTTCCGCCTCAGCCCTCCAAGTAGCTGGAACTACAGGTGCGTGCTACCACGCCCGGCTAATTTTTTTTTTTTAATGTATTGTAGAGATGAGGTCTCGCCAAGTTGCCCAGGCAGGTCTCGAACCTGTGGGCTCTGGCAATTCACTCACCTCAGCCTCCCAAAGCGCGGGATTACAGGCTGAGCCACCAACCCCAGCTAGGAGTTTTACCAGCTGGTTTTTAAACCTTTGGTAGCTTAAAATCTGGTCATGGTGCAGGTATTTACACTACAAAAATTGGCAAGTACTATGAATAAGCGTTTTTTCTTCCAGAAAACTGGTTTGCCAGCACCTCACTGGCTCCATGCTATTCTGTCCTGGACATAGCATTCTGCCAGAGACAGTAACAGCATTAATTTAAGGAACTTCAAACCAAGTCCCTCATATAGCAACTCTCTGGAACTCAACTCTTCTTAGAGGGAAATAGGGGATTCCTCCAGAGAAAAAAGGTAAGACCTAGCCAGTGGCACTTTGTAAACAGCTGTAGCCTCAAACCAGATTTCCATAGTGAAGACGGCCTGCTGTACCCTCACCTCAGGGTAATTTCTTCAGCTGCCCACTATAACAGAGTGGGAGGTCTGAAAGTGTTGACCTAGCCAGGCTCGGTGGCTCAGCCTGTAATCCTGCCCCTTTGGGAGGCTGAGGTGAGTGGATTGCCTGAGCCTGTGGGTTTGAGACCTGCCTGGGCAACTTGGCGAGACCTCATCTCTACAATAAATCAAAAATTAGCCGGTTGTGGTAGCACGCGCCTGTAATTCCAGCTACTTGGAAGGCTGAGGCGGAAGGATCGCCGGAGTCCGGCAGGTTAAGGCTGCGGTGGCCGGGAGTGGCCACTGCACTCCAGTCTGGGCGACAGAGTGAGACTCCAACTCAAAAAAAAAAAAAAAAAAGATCAATATCCTTATCTGTTTTCCCCTCCTCTGGCCTCTTCTTTGTTCTAAACAGGTGACTGAGGATACCCTTTAAACATGTTCTTAGCCAGTGAGGTCCCAATGATCTAAACATAACTTCTTGGTGGTATGCATCCTGTTTGGGCTGTGTGCCGTTTTCTACAGTTGGAGTCACGGGTTGACCCAAGTTCTGACATCTCTACTGGTATGCTTTCCTCTGAAGCAAGCGGGGCTTCCCTAAATTGGCTGGATATATACAGCAGATGCTTAATTTCTTGTGTTTCTCACGAAGACATTATGTTTCATGATACTGCACTCTGGGTCTAATCTGCTGGTTCTCCTTCCTCCCTCAGCCTGCCTTTTCACCTTGTCTCTGGATGGGTCAGGACCCCTGACTTCTCTGGCTGTTGGTGACACTGTCTCCTTATTGTGTGCAAGTTTCAACAGAGGAATTCACTTACTCAGAGTGGACCACAGCCGAGGGCTGGAACTGCAGGAAGTGGCAGCATTCTGAGACCAAGAGACACTCACCGGACAACATAAAATTGTGGCCCCTCCTTTTTCATGTGGCTTTCTGTCTTTCCATGTTACCTGTGGGGAGAGTGGAATGTCAGACTGATATTCTTTGCTTAGATTTACTTAAAAGGTATATCAGTGTCAATTTAAGTCTAATGATTAAAAATCAAGTATAGCCAGGAACAGTGGCTCATGCCTATAATCCCAGCACTTTGGTTTGCCTAGGTGGGAGGATTGCTTGAGCCCAAGAGTTGGAGACCAGCCTGGGCAACAAAATGAGACCTCATCTCTACAAAGAAAAAAAAATTAGCTGGGCGTGGTGGCGCTTGTAGTTCCAGCTACTCAGAAGGCTGATACAGAAGGATTGCCTGAGCCCAGCAGGTCGAGGCTGTGGTGGTTGTGAGCGTGCTACTGCACTTCAGCCTAGGTGACAGAGTGAGACTCCAACTCAAAAAAAACAAACAAACAAAAAATAAAACAAGCTGGGCTTGGTGGCTCAGCTTTTAATCCTGCACCCTGGAAGGCTGAGGTGAGTGCATTGCCTGAGCCTGCGGGTTTGAGACCCGCTTGGGCAACTTGGTGAGACCTCATCTCTAC